GTGAACCTCGAATGTGCTCGAGAGTTGGGACGAAGAAAATTTTGTATCGTGCCAACCACGTAATGGGCAATTAATGTTTATTCCGTATTCCAAAATTCGGACATTGTGATGTACACTTCGATATCCGATAGATATTCAAAAGAACTTGAATGGGGCATCTGTGCTGCGGGGATGGATTACGGATTTGGAGACGTCGGGGGAATTGTGCGGCGGTTATCGGTGGCAGTGATACGTAAGCGTCGATGAATATTCCGTTACAAAAGTGACTTTTGATGCTTTTTAGGGTTAGGCTTTTGGTGCTTCCGGTACAAGCTAATAGACTCGTGCCGCGGAGGCGCCGGAGTTCGGAATTGACTTTCAGATTTGATAAGCCGATGCAGATTTTCATGTAGGGGCTTCTTTTGAAACTGGGCGAAAACGCGGCGCTGGGCAGATCACCATTTAGCCGCCCAAGAGGCTTCTCACGGGTGCATGCACGCCGCAATGCAGACTCTGTACAAAGTGCAACTGGAAGCTGTGGTGAAACGAATGTGCCCGTTCGAACGTGGCGATTTAACGGGCAGTTCTTATTTGCGGGATTCCCGGTGAACAGGGAATACTACTCCTTTTTCCGACCGCGTCATTGATTGAAAAGTGCGATTTTAATCGGAACAAGGATAAAGTGTAATTATATAATAATTTGTTACAATTCGTTTACAAAAGTGCGTCTTCTATCAAAATTTTCTCATCAAATTATTTAATTGTATCAGGATGTTATGAAAAAAGAAAGCAAAGTTTAAGAGTAAAATATATTTTTAAAAAATCGGAAAAGAAAATAGATAGTAAACTAACTATTTAAATATTGGAAATCTCGGAAATGACAATCAGTATTTCAACAATAACTAAAACCTTTTTTATATTTGCACATTTATTTTGTAAAATGTAATTATTTATACCATATGATATATAACATTATTATGATATTTCAGTCTGTTAAAGAATAATCTAAAACGTGTTAACGCAATGGAAATTTAGCACACTCGAAACTACTTAAACATGAAACTAACTAGTTGGAAGTACAAAATAGCACTGACATGTATCAGCCTGTAATTGCTCATTACGCGCGTTCGTTTCCCGCACGAAACGCGGAAATTGGGTCGCGTCGCGAAACACGACGTTGGCCATCGTTTCTTTATTACCGTCAAAATTTTCGCGGCGTTAGCGGAACCAGCCGCATTCACACGGTATTTGACAGAAAACGTGGAATGTATTGCAGCATGCGAGAAGCGAGAATTTAGGGAGGAGACGCGAGGAGAAACGTGCGCGATCGTTAACGGAGCGCGTGCTTAAAATACCTGCGAAACCGGAAGGACTCCCGCCAATCGAACTTTTGTACATATGTACACAGGCACACCGGTATACGTACCGGGTGATCCACTGCAGCTATTGTATGCACCGTACGTGATACGAGTGATAAGTTATAACCTTATCAGGCTGGGTTGCATTATTGTGGCCAAACGTGTGCATAGATATTTCAAGCAATAAAGCGTAAGATTATGGATCTCATCAAAAACGATGGAAGGAATTTAAACTTGGAAATCCAAATAAGAAATCCACGTTATTTAGTAACAATCGCGCAGAATTTTTTTTTCTACGAAGAAATACGTATAATTAAGAAAATGGCATTGCTACAGAGGTAACAATAGAAGATTATGCGTTATCTTCAGTACAATAGAACAAGATATAAAAGAGAGCAACAGTTTAAACAATTCTATGTCTTTTCCGGGAGAAAAATCGATTTTACGGAGACTCAATTGGAGCACTCGAGGTATAATTCTCTTTTCTCTGTCCACTTCGATCTCGTTCGAGCGCCGGACATAAAATATAAAAAAAGAACGGTCTCGTCTCAATCCTTTCGTGAATTCTTGAAAATCCTTTAGTGCGACGCAAATAACTGCGACACTCTAACTATAATGGAAAGAAAAGCGAGTTTGAATACTCTAAAAATAACTCAAGTGTAACGTGACTTTCGATGTCTGTCTGCGTTAGTAAGATATTTTCTTGTAAGATCAAAATGATAGAGGGATCAATGTGTTTTTCTGCAGCAATAAGTTGCGAGAAAATCATGAAATAACAGCAAGCGCATATACTCACATATATATCTCTTTTGCTTTAATTATTCTTAATCCTCGATCGCAGATCGCTACCACAATCACGTTAACGTACATACGGTGAGAAATTCACGTGTTTGCGCTCACGCAGGCACATACGCATATACACATACAGATGCGCGCGCACCACGCACACGTACATATACATATATCTTTATTTCCTTGTCTGACCATTAATCGTAATCCAATCGTTTAATTATACAGTTTCCGCCCTCTCTTTAAATGGACCCCGCCTAATTGGACGCCCAAAGACTTCACGATATACGCGGAGGTAATGTATTACGCACACTCTGAAAAAATATCTCGGCGCTGTACATCGGAGCATATATCTTACAAATTACGAAGGGGCGTTACACGAAGGAACGCTCGTCACGTCGACTTTCTTCGCGTTCGTCGACCGACGACGGTGGTCAATAACGGTCAATTACGGTCGGGTACGTTGATGTCAATTAGCCACGAGAAAGAACGACGAAATACCGGAGTAAGGATGTGATTAATATACTCGGTTAGAATAAGAAACTAAATAATAATTCATGCCGAACAATAATCCCGGAAATTCGGAAAGTTTTACTTAAAGGAGAGAAGATTTCCACGCCAAGATCGTTATTCCTTTCTCGTGTGCTACTATTACGATTTCCCTGCGAACGTACCTTGTAATGTCGTTAACGAATTCGTCGATAACGATCCTTCGTGCCTGTTCCGTCGTCCCTCAGACAAGTAGGGGTTTCACCTCGGGCATCTCGCAAATAAAGTCTCTCTTTTCTCGATTTTCCCTATGTACAAGGTATTTACAGTCTGTCTCCGCTGCGTAAATGCGACGAGGACCTATATATGCATAATATATATATATATATATATTTCTAAGATGTACACGTGTGTACATTTGTACGGTGCACAACGTATGGCGACGCGCGAAAAATACTTTTCGATCGCTTTTCATCATCTTGATGGCGAACTCAAAATGAGCGCGACATGGCAGTTGGGTTGTGCGTTTTGGCAGTCCTAGGATACACATTTGTCTTTACAAGATTTCATTGTACGTCACGTCAGTCTGCGTGTTCAATGGGAAGTGAAGATAAAAAATCGGCCGCTTAAACGGTGAACTACACGCGTTTATTATGCCGCAACTTTATATAAATTATATTTTCAAATTTATTTCTCATCTATTCTCAAGCCTTTCTTTTCTTTTTCATGATTTTCATCGTAGAATTCAAGTCCTTTTAGCATTGCAAATTTGGATAGTCAGTATAGTTTTAATATAAGCGATTATACAAGTAAGATTGTCTTGGTAGGAATATAAAAACCGATAGCCGATTAAAAAAGCATTATTCCGGACTGAGGTATCTCAATGAAGTTCAAACTCCAATTAAGTTTCGAAGAATATAGCACGATATAATTTACCGTCGGCGAGCCGCTTTCAATTTAACAGTTCTGCAACGTTATTGTCCCCGATCCCGTCGCAAAATATTCTCCGATCGAACGAAACGTAATTACGGGTAATGCGTAGACGCACGTCGCTATTGAATGATGCGCAATGTACAAGGTACGTTAATTAGAATTAATATACATTTTTTTCGGAGCGCAGCAGGCTCTTTATCAACGCACACGGTAATTTCGATAATAGTCTAAATTTACTCCGTGTCCTCGTCTCCTCGAGGAAAAGTTGCTATTTACAGTGCTTTACGGATATGAGGATGTACGTCAGGTCATCTTGGAAGAAACTCTCCTTCCGCATTATTGTTAAAACTTTGAGACTCTCGCTAAAAGTTCCGCGCGAATATCATTCCGTTCACATGTCGCGCGGTTAGATATACGAAAAGTCACGCAAATAGACTAGAAAGTTGTAACGATGGAAGGATTTACACAAAGAACAGATTCCGCGCGTTCTTTATCCTTCCATCGTTACCGCGAAAGAGAAGATCGATAGTCCGGATAATTTTATAGTTAGCAAATTTACTCTTACCTTGAAAGTTTCCGATAATATGCGGCATAGGGTATGGTGGGGCAGGTTAAGACGGATTTTTTGTTTGGGCACATATTTCCTGAACAAAGAGAGGTAAATTAAAGATCGGGATATTTATAGATAGAGGGACCTTTTGCGTACATGAAAGTAATTTTTAATTTTTAATATGTTAAACCATTCGAGTGTGATTAATTATCTTCCAAACTCCTGCATTTGCCATGGATGGGGCACATTGAGACAACCTATAATAATGACTCAAACACCATTTTTTGAAAATATGACTGTCCTTATTCAGAACAAAAAAAAATTACACAAAGAAGCCAACATAAATGTTCATTAAAAAATCATAAAGTATTATAAAAAAATATTTCTTTTTACTTCTCTTATTCTATAGCAAAGTCATAACTTTATGTTATGGCAGTAATATGTACCTAAACTATTAATATGTAGGGGAGACCAGGACAAATGCGGTATATACATATATACCTCTCCACACGTAGCAGTGCCCAGCAATATTTGGTCAGATGCTGGACTCGAACTCGAATCCTCGTGGTTACGAGTCTGGCACTTATGCCACTATAGACTACACTGCTCTCTCGTTGGTGATCCCCCGTAGGGGAGTAGGGCGTCGGATCTTGCGTTCTTCCTGTTGGCTGAGAGAGGAGAAATCGATGTACCTATGTCTCGTAACAGCGAATGTAGATTTTCTATCCCGAGAGTAGGTATACTTTGTATTACAAAATAGGTATGAGGATAAAGAAGATCGTCGTGTTGAGTGTATTTTCGTAGAACGGCGCATCTTTATCGTCGATATGCTCCCTCCGTCTCTCTCTCTCTCTCTCTCTCTCTCTCTCTCTCTCTCTCTCTCTCT